ATCAAGGGTGCCAACAATTTCGGCCATGACTGTAGCACATTATGTGAAACTTACCATAAAACAAAACCCTCCAGCGGCATGCTGTCACCACTGACAGGGATTCCATCTTCACTTGGCCCTTCTTCCGGGTTCATGCGCTTTGATGGGTTGATTGGCCAAGCCACTTTTTACTGCTCATTGCGCTCAAGGAACGGCACAGACATGCTGTTCCTTCAGAGCGAATGCACCGGTGTTCCTTTACAGGTAAATATCGCCTAAACATTGCACATTAATAAGGATTACCTGTAGGTACAAGTAATAAAAATGACTTTACTAGCACTTTAACAGCAGTGTATCCTATTTAATATGTGAATGCAAAACCAAATAGCACCCAATTAAAACAAATGCTTAATATTCCTGTGCAATGTGTCTTGTGCACCAAAAAAAAAAAAATCATGTATAATTGCAAAGCTAGATCTTACCGCGTGAAGGTAAGATATTATATCGATATCTGATATCTCTGTGCAATATATATATACAGTTGTGTTAAAAATAATAGCAGTGTGTTGAAAAGTGAATAAAGCTCAAAATCTTTCTAATAGCTTTTATTTCCATACACACAAATGCATTGGGAACACTACACATTCTATTCCAAATCAAAACATGAAGAAAAATATATCAAATTTGTGTTGTTCCTCTAAAAAAATTGAAGAAAAGTGAATATTAGACTGTTCAAAAAAATAGCAGTGTTTGTATTCTTCTTTACAAACTCAAACATTCACTATATAAACTGAAAAATGTTTGAAGATTTTGCTTTCCTTTGAATCACTTAATGAATATTTAGTTGTATAAGCACTGTTTCTGAGAACTGCTGTTCATCTGTGTTGCATGGAGTCAACCAACTTCTGGCACCTGTGAACAGGTATTCCAGCCCAGGATGATTGGACTACAGACCACAGTTCTTCTCTATTTCTTGGTTTTGCCTCAGAAACTGCATTTTTGATGTCACCCCACAAGTTTTCTATTGGATTAAGATCCGGGGATTGGGCTGGCCACTCCATAACGTCAATCTTGTTGGTCTGGAACCAAGATGTTGCACGTTTACTGTGTGTGTTTGGGGTCGTTGTCTGGTTGGAACAGCCATTTCAAGGGCATTTCCTCTTCAGCATAAGGCAGCATGACCTCTTCAAGTATTCTGATGTATTCAAACTGATCCATGATCCCTGGTATGCGATAAATAGGCCCAACACCGTAGTATGAGAAACATCCCCATATCATGATGCTTGCGCAACCATGCTTCACTGTCTTCACAGTGTACTGTGGCTTGAATTCAGTGTTTGGGGGTCGTCTGACAAACTGTCTCCGGCCACTAGACCCAAAAAGAACAATCTTACTTTCATCAGTCCACAGAATGTTGCACCATTTCTCTTTAGGCCAGTCAATGTACTCTTTGGCAAATTGTAACCTCTTCAGCACATGTCTTTTTTTCAACAGTGGGACTTTGCGGGGGCTTCTTGCAGATAGCTTGGCTTCACATAGGCGTCTTCTAATTGTAACAGTACTCACAGGTAACTTCAGACCTTCTTTGATCTTCCTGGAGCTGATTGTTGGCTGAGTCCTTGCCATTTTGGCTATTCTTCTATACATTCGAATGGTAGTTTTTTGCTTTCTTCCACGTCTTTCAGGTTTTGGTTGCCATTTCAAAGCATTTTTGATCATTTTAGCTGAGCAGCCTATCATTTTCTGCACTTCTTTATATGTTTTCCCCTCTCCAATCAACTTTTTAATCAAGGTACGCTGTTCTTCAGAACAATGTCTGAAACGACCCATTTTCCTCAGAATTTCAGAGAGAAATGCACTGTAACCAGCATGTACAACATTTGCTGCCTTCCTTCCGTAAATAAGGGCAATGATTGCCACCTGTTTTGCAAAGAATGAATGACCTCACTAATAGAACTCCACACTGCTATTATTTTGAACATGCCCCTTTCAATTAGTGATTCAATTACACAGAATCAGCAGCATGCATGTCATGACTGTTGGGTCAGTTGGATTTCTATTACTCTACTACACCTGCTAGTAAATTATTTGCCATGTAGAAATATCATTTCTACCAAAAACAGTGATTGATCAGGTTAGTGATGTCTGACTGCTATTATTTTGAACACAACTGTATAATAAAATGATTAAACAAATATTCTATACATTTACATCAAAACAGTAATAAAGACAGTTAAGTGGAAAGAAAAGGAAAAGTTCCAACTCCAAAAATATGATGATGATTATACTCTTCTTGAATCAGTAAAAGGTATTACAGTAGAATCCACAAGTGAACACCACTCTGTGTAACAGAAAAGGAGGGGGCTTATCAGAAAGGTTTGACCCTCAAACTTTAGAATGGTCAAACACAGCTTTAGAATAGCCCCATCAACTCCTGCTTCATCCGAGAGATGACCACACACAGCCACAAACAGTGCTCCGGTCCTCCATTCAAAACAGTGGCTTTTAAAGGTTTAATCACTCAAGCCGGACATGCAAGAAATAGACATGCTTTCCACAGTGTGTAATCTGTGATCCAAAGGTTTATTGGTTAAAATGGTATGGGAAGATAAAACACTGCTGTACATAACAAGACCTCAATGGTGCCCACATCCAATATGGCCACTGCTTGGCACGTATGCATGGTGACATACACCCTGACCCCTTCCAACATGTTTTGTCAGATGTGATGTCATCACGGGTTCAGGAATATTAAGTATTGGAAATATCAATTAATTTTACTAGGGTAATATTTGGTTTTGCATTCACATATTAAATAGAATATATTGCTGTTAAGTTATTCTTTATAATTTTTCACACATGACAAGTTCTTATTGGGTAACACCTTAATTTTATTTCAGATTGATTATTTTTTGTCACTTTGTTTATGGGTATGCACTGCACTTTTTGAATAATGTTTTGAATATCTGGTATCAGGGTATTGTGCTAGTGGCTACATATTATATGACCTATCGCAGTTTTTCCTTTCTCCATTTTCTCTATTTTAATATCATCAGAACACCAGAAAATAAACGTTCCACAAAAATCCCCATAAGACTCCCTAATCGTGTAGCTCGATATATATATATATATATATATATATATATATATATATATATATATATACAGTAGGTCAGTAGGAAGAATGCCACCATAACAGACGGCTGAAAATAACTTGGTGTCAGTGGTTATTTATCTGAAAGACAAGAGGGGAAGCTCTTCTAGTACCACACCATAGGCTCTGCCAAGTGATCTTAGAACTATGCAGGCACCATCATGTGAAAAGTCCACACTGTGCCTCACTCCTTCAAGAATACCTGGTAACCTTTGGAGGAATCCCTGGTTGAAAATGGCTGACATGTAGATGTTCTATGGATACTTCTTTGGGGGTTAGGCAGACAGGTGATTAATAATGGGCAACCAAACAATTTTCAAAGACAAGACCCTATATGGTAATGGGATATCTTTCTTGGGCTTCACTGAATTCCTACTAAAACAAAATGGAACATTTGTGATGTATGGCAGTTGTCAGAGTTTACTATAGCAAATTGTGGTTGGGGCCAATGTACATGTGCATTTTTAAGAGTATTCTGCCTTGTCAACGTATCTGCCAACTCCTAAGTGCATAACACTGTCAGACAGCAGAGCCCTGTACTGGTTTACATTCATCTTAACTACAGAACTTATTTGACACTATTATGTACTCTGAAAAGCTAGGAGGCAATGGGGGAGATTTACTAAAACTGGTGCACTCAGTATCTAGTGCAGTAGTGCATGGTAGCCAATCAGCTTCTAACTTCAGCTTGTTCAATTAAACTTTTGGCAATAAAACCCGGAAGCTGATTGGTTTCTATGCAGAGCTGCACCAGATTTTGCACCCTCCAGTTTTGGTGAATAACCCCCAATATGTGAAGTCAGGCAGTTGACAGGAAGTACTGTAGCTGTCAGATTTAAGTTGCCCTCTGGCAATTAAGCTAATCTGTCAGGCTCAATGTAAGTAAAGCTAAATAAAGGACTACTAATATATATTTTTCATAAGTGAGCCTACAAAACTAAATTGACTGACTATTCAGATCCTTGCATAAACAAAACAGTTCTATAATTTGGATGCAAACCCAGTGGTTTCACTATTTTCTCAGCTGTAAACCTAACCTAAAGGTCTTGTTCATATTTGCTTTGCTCCATAATCTATCTCTTTTTTTGCTCTAAGAATCTTGAAGTATTTTTAAAAGGAAGATGCTTACATACATATTCAATGATTAATGCTAAACAAAGGATTTTGTGGGTAGATTACATTTATTAAAGGTATTTATATAGCACCAACACAATACACATTGCTTCACATAGTGTACATTTACACCAATCCCTGCCCTCAAGAATCTTACAATCTAAGGTCCCTATCTCACATACTAAGGCCAGTTAACACAAGAGCCAATGAACCTACCAGTATGTCTTTGGTGTGTGGAAGGAAACCTACACAAGCAAATGCAACATGCAAACTTCACATCTGAACTGAGAACCCTAGTCCTGCAAGGCAGGAGTGCTAACCACTAAGACTAATAAGAACAAATTATTTGTCTCTGTAAAGGAAGGAACTGCAAATAAGTAAATAAACAAATGCACAATACTGTATGTAAAAAGACATTCTGATTCCCTTACTTTTACGAGGCACACAACATGCCCAAAAGTTTGTGGACACCTGACTATCACACCTTTTATAGATTTTTGGATGTTCCATTCTATAACCTTGGACATTGATAGGGAGTAGCTCTGACAATAGTCATGTCTGATCAACCCAAAACTAAGTAAAGGGATGGGGAGTTATACTGAACACAGTGTCACCCTTATTTTTACAAAATCCATGAGTCAGCAACATATTCTCAGATTGAACAATCAACTACAGATACAAAGCAGGCTGTCATACTTTTCCTCCTGTGTCAGCAGAAGCATTATTTTGGCTCAACAGTATTTTCTATGTGTAGCTTCCAGCTTTAAAAACAACTGGTACACCAAACTCAGCAGAAATTTGGAAAGACGCACACATCCAAAAACCATTGGCAAGAGTCCACCGAATCTGTAGAACTTCAAAAATTCAGGTAAGTAAATTATTTGGTAACTGGGGTTTTTAAAATATTAAATTGACTCTGACTAATTGTGCTTGTTTACTATTTCTAGTGTTTATTTCAAAAATGAAAGAAATTTTAGCCAACATTCTCAGCACAACCTGTTTAATGATATCTTTATGGCACTAATGAAGAACAGGCTGGGATGCAGGTAAGGAATATTTATTTTTTTGTGAGTAGTGATTTGTTTCATATCATATCCAAATGAACAAAAGAATTCATACAAGTCTAGCACTAGAACTTTTGGGCACACCTAACTGTTACAACAATTCACAAAAACATATATATTTCATTGCCACATAAACAGCCAGGGTTACAAATATATCACATCTGTTAACAAACTGCTCCCCCCTGGACCGGTATCAACCTTGCTTGAGGACTTCTCTGCCTGGCTACTCTACTTTCTTTCTTCTGAAATCTCCACAATCATTCTCAGTGACTTCCACATCCCTGTTAATGCAAATACTCCTGCTACTTCTAAACTTACTAGTCTAGCCTCCTCTTTTGACCTGAAGCAATGAATACAGGCTCACTCTGATGGCAACACCCTTGACCTTGTGTTCTCCTATCAATGCGCTCCATGCATCCTCTCCAACAATCCTCTCCAACTCTCTGGTCACCCCCTTATTAGTTTTGCTCTCTCCCTTTGTTCTACCTCCTCTCTCTCCAACCGCCTAACAGTTACCCATAGAAACCTTTGCCACCTCAACTCTTCTCTTTTCTACTCTGCTACTGACTCTCATCCCTGTCCTGCCCCAATCTAGCTCGCTGTCATCCTCCCTAGACAAGCTTGCTCCCTCAGTACACATGCAACCAGGCCCCAACCTCAAAAGCCTTCGCAAACAAATGACACCAGAAGTCTCAAAAAATGTAGCTGCGCTCTTGAGTGCCCGAGGCACAAGAATAAATCTCAGAAAGACATCAGCCTATATAAATCTGCCTTCCAGAAATATTATTCCTGCCTCCTCACTGCCAAGCAGACCTATTTCATCGTTCTCATTAACACCTTCTCACACCACAAAAGAAAGGAATCTCAAATAGTCTAATACATATACCATTAGTTTATTAAAAGTCAATACTCGCAATAACAAAGAATGTAAAAGCAGCATATAAATGCAACAGTCCCGACACTGAGCTGGCAGCATGCACCACTGCACTTCCCTTAGGACCAGCCGTCAGCCACTCAGTGCGAGTTACAGGCTCCTGGTCTCCGGTGCTACTAGTTTCCCCCAAGTACTGTCGCTCTGCCCCTCATGCATTTTGTTGCTTTGGCAACTTTTTCAAGAGTGATTTGTTTCATTTTTAAAGGCAGCCTGTCATGAGAGAAACATGGAGGCTCCCACTGTTAACCTCTCCTTCAGAAAATGTTAGTTGCCAACCATGTTGGAGCAATATTTTGGATGGTGATTTACTAAGGCCACACAGGCTGTTCACTTTGCAGAGAAAGTTGCACTTTGCAAGGGAATTTGCCCCAGATCATAGTAAATGAGGTTTCTGCTGATTTCCATCATCCAAACATTCGTAAACAAGAATGTGTTTTTTTTTTTAAATTTTCCTTCCACATGATTTTGTATGTTAATTTGTTTTCTCCTAAGGGCATGTATTCACATCGGCGGACTCCACCGAGCGGATCCGCCTGCTCATCGGGGGATCTATCCACTGATTACCGTTGAGCAAGCAGATGACAGATAATAACAGAGAACAGCGGGCTGTGTCCGCTCCACTTCTACAACATTGGTGTACAGAACTCCTCCGGGTTTCTATATTGCATTGAATTTTTAAAAACATTTTGAAAATTACAGCAGCTTCATGACCAGGGCATTTTTTTTTGCTATTCAGCACTGTGCTACGTTAACTTGCAATTGTTTTGTCATGCAACACTGTACCAAATTAAATTTTTATAATTTTTCAAACAAGTATAGCTTTCATTTGGTGGTATTTGATCACCACTTTTTTTTTATATAAAAAAAAAAAAATATTTTCTTCTTTCTATTTTAAAACATATTCAATAAAAAAAATCTAAATATCTAATTTCTATATATATTTAGGCCAAAATGTATTCTTTGGTAAATATTTCCAATACATGTATAGTAATTGAATTGTGCAAAAGTTATAGTGCCTACAGACTATGGTATACAGTGGATATAAAAAGTCTACACACCCCTGTTAAAATGTTAGGTTTCTGAGACAAAGATAAATAATTTTAGAACTTTTTCCACCTTTTATGTGACCTATAAACTGTACAACTCAATTGAAAATCAAACTGAAATCTTTTAGGGGGGGGAGTAAACATAAAAAAACTAAAATAATATGGTTGCATAAGTGTGCACACCCTTAAACTAATACTTTGTTGAAGCACCTTTTGATTACAGCACTCAGTCTTTTTGGCTATGGGTCTATCAGCATGGCACATCTTGAATTGGCAATATTTGCCCACTCTTCCTTGCAGAAACACTCCAAATCTGTCAGATTGCGAGGGCATCTCCTGTGCTCAGCCCTCTTCAGAGCATCCCACAGATTTTCCATCAGATTTAGGTATGGGCTCTGGCTGGGCTATTCCAGAGCTTTAATCTTCTTCTGGTGAAGCTATTCCTTTGTTGATTTGGATGTATGGTTTGGGTCATTGTCATGCTGAAAGATGAAGTTCCTCTTCGTGTTCAGCTTTCTAGCAGAAGCCTGAAGGTTTTGTGCCAGTAGTGACTGGTATTTGGAACTGTTCATAATTTCCTCTACCTTGATTAACACCCCAGTTCCAGCTAAAGAAAAATAGCCCCAGAGCATGATGCTGCCACCACCATGCTTCACTGTGGGTATGGTGTTCTTTTTGTGATGTCTCTTTTACTAAGAGATTTGGCTGTTTATTCTCCTTGTGTACTGAGCCCTGAGTTGTTTGTAAACACAGGGCTCTGTGCTGTGATTGGACACAGCCGATAAGCAGGTCTCAGCCATAAATCATTGGGCGGGACCTGCTGACAAAATTCCACAGTGTCCAACTGCAGCAAGGGTGAGCAGCAGGCACAGGCATGTGCGCCCCAGACCCGGAAGCAAGCCTGCAATGTTTATGTACGTTGCTAAGCCTGTAGCTGCTGTCCTGTCACAGTAAATCTACTGTTATGGGGCAGCAAACAGTTAACAAAAGTGTTATTCCCCATTTGGCTGCCACTCGCCCAACGAATAAAATTCAAAATACTAACAACAACTTACAAAGCCATCCACAACTCTGCCTCCCCCCCCCAGCTATATCACCAACCTGGTCTCAAAATATCAACCAAACCACTCTCTTCGATCCTCCCAAGACCTTCTGCTCTCTAGTTCCTGTGTCACCTCCTCCCATGCTCGCCTCCAGGACATCTCCCGAGCTTCTCCCATCCTATGGAACTCCCTACCCCAATCTGTCTGGCTGTCTCCTAATCTATTCACCTTTAGACGATCCTTGAAAACCTCTCTTTAAAGAAGCCTATCCTGCTTCTACCTAGTAAACTGCCATTTATTTCCTCCATCAGCTCATCCCCCCACAGCTATTACCTTTTGTATCACTCAACCCTTCCTCTTAGATTGTAAACTCTAACGAGCAGGGCCCTCTGTTTCCTCTTGTACCAAATAGTGTTGTAACTGTAATGTCTACCTTCATTTTGTAAAGTGCTGTGCAAACTGTTGGCGCTATATAAATCCTGTATAATAATTTAATGAAATCCATATATCATATGGTACTTCTTTGCTTTTAACAAAAAAAATGTGGAACTGACATAATAATATGTTTTTTATCTTCACACCTTAATCCAGAACATTGAAATGATCAAATTAGATAAATATTTTAGTGAACTAGTTAAAGTGGTAAGACGTTTGCATAGAACTGTATGTACAGATACAATGGTACCGTGGTCAGTGTGTGGTAAGTGATATAATTCAGTTGCTCTTTTTCTGAATTCATGCCATGGTTGTCCTCAGTCTTGTCTTGCATGGCATTCTTTCAGACTTATGAATTTAAAATTAAAATAGCTATTCCCTGGGGTGTAAGATTATGTCTTTATATAGTGCATAGTAATATGACTTTGAAGAATACATAGAGTTTAAAATGAGGTCTGTGTGCATAATGTGGTCTCTCCAATGTGTGAAATGTGCAGCTGTGTGGAATTCTGAAAATATCTACATTGCTGAAGTATTCAAATTCCAAACATTCTCTTCTAGTTTTCTGTGTCATTGTCTTTTACATCTTTCCAAATCTGAATAATTTTATTATCCACTTTGGCCATCCTCCCAGACCAGCCATTAATAACCTCAGACATACACGGTATTACAGCCCACATTGAGATCCCACACATGCTATGTTTCACTAGTCCTCAGATGCTTTTTGGCACACTAACAATAAAATAATACATAGAAACCCATTATTGCACAATTGTTATAATTAAATATGTGCACTCAAACATGAAAAAAATGCAAAGTGTACAAAAATGCTAGATCTGAATCATTTATTGCTTTTAAATATATGGTGCTACACAATTCATATTAGATAATATAAAGTACAGCGCTTAACCTAAAATACTATATGTAATAATAAATATATAATAAGTGCTAAAAATCTGTGCAAAATATATATCTGTGCAATAAATAATACACAATACAGCGCTAAACCTAAAATCCTATATATAATAATAAATATATAGATAGGTGCTAAAAAAATCTGTGCAAAATGTGCAAATAAAGTAAAGTGCAACACGTGTATTCCCACCGGGAATATTAAAAGTGTTCAAAGTGATAGCAATCAATAATACAAAATCACTGCAAATATAGACTACTCAAAATAAGTCCATATGAGAAATAGTGTCCAAACAAGACAAAGAAACTCTCAATCTTCATGCATGTGATAACAAGTGTCCACACTGTGTGAATCCAAACAATGGCTGCAGTGGCCCCTCACCTCCTTACATAGACCCCACAGGGTCAGCTTGCCTTAGGATAAAACAGCACTCTGATGAATCACCGGATCCTCCCCAGACTCATATACTCTCTCAGCAGCTTCCTCCTTGGTTCATATATAGACAGAAAACTCTCATAGTGTAAAACTGTATTTATTCCATATATATATATAATAAAAATGCCCACTCACATTTAGATCTTCAATAACAGGCTTCTATACCACATGCTATGAATGCCCTGCATGGGTATTTAATATAGGGGTTTCAAATATGGCCGCCACGCCGGAAATGACGTCACCGCGCTCCCAGAATCCTCCTCGCGTACCGACGCATTGCGTCACGATAGACACGTGACTTCCTCAGGGTTCCCTTGCTATCACTTTGAACACTTTTAATATTCCTGCTGGGAATACACGTGTTGCACTTTACTTTATTTGCACATTTTGCACAGATTTTTTTAGCACCTATCTATATATTTATTATTTATATATAGGATTTTAGGTTTAGCGCTGTATTGTGTATTATTTATTGCACAGATATATATTTTGCACAGATTTTTAGCACTTATTATATATTTATTATTACATATAGTATTTTAGGTTTAGGGCTGCACTTTATATTATCTATTGTTCATTCACTCATTTTGGTAGGAGGTTTAGTGTCAGCAGCTTTTACGATAGGGCCCCATTTCTAGCGCAGGAGGTTCGTTCTTTTAGTAACACAATTCATACTGCTTTTCAGCAGGAATGTGTGTTATATATGTAACATGTTTATGCTGTATATGTTTTCTTTTACAGGGAATGGATTGACAGAGCTCCGGCTGTTCATTTGCTTCGGGTGTTGATCTGTTTGCGGCTATTAATGCGGGACCCATTCTATCAGGTGCTTTCATTATAAAACACATTTTGGGTTTTGAGTTTGTATATTTGTCTTATATGAAGGGGTTTGACAGCACATGTGAAGGGAAATCTCTTTGGTCAGTGCTACAAATCCTGGTGGTTGTTTCTTAACCGCTTGCCCTCCAAACGATTTATCCCCCTTCCTGACCAGACCATTTTTAGCGTTACGGCACTGTGCTACTTTAACTGACAATTGCACAGTCATGCAGCGCTGCACTCAAATGAAATGTAAATCCTTTTTTTCCCACGAATAGAGCTTTCTTTTGGTGGTATTTGATAGCCTGTGCGTTTTTTATTTTTTGCACTATAAAAATAAAAGACCAACAATTTTGAAAAAAAAACAATATTTTTTACTATTTGCTATTAAACATGTCCAGTAAAAAAATTTCAAATATTACATTTTGTCATAAATTTAGGCCAAAATGTATTCTGCTATGTCTTTGCTAAAAAAGTTAAAAAAGTTACCTGAAAGTTAAAGCGCTTACAAGTGGCAATATATACAGTACACTGGGATTTTTTTTTTTTAATTTTTAATTTTTACTAGTAATGACAGTGATCAGCGACTTATAGTGGGTGCTGCAGGACTGCAGCGGGCATTCTGACATTGGGGGGAACTGACTTGGTGTCGTTGACATCCCCAGTGACACCAATACAGTGATCAGTGCTAATAAAAAGCACTGACACTGTACTAATGGCACTGGGCAGGAAGGGGTTAACATGTGGGCTGATCAAAGGGATAACTGTGTGCTGTTTTACTAGGGAAACATGCTGCTTTTTATTTGTCTGCTATTCAGAGCAATGCACTACTTTTGCTGAATTTGCTCAGAGCAATGTAGTTCATGCACTACTTTTTGAAATGCGCTGCAACTAGATCACATGGTACTTTTTTATTATGCGATCCATTGTGGGAAAATGCACTGCATTTGGAGTGTCATTAACCTTGCGCTGACACCTACTATTGATTGTAGGGGGAGTACAATTTGAATGTGGTGCAGGAAATGGTCATATAATGAGAGTTTCTCACATGGCATTCTAGTGGGAACGGGCCTTAAGACAAGATTTAAGTCATCATAACCCTAAATGAGCTTATAGAATCTAGTTTTGGGGACCCCACATGTTCATATACAGTATTTTTAGTGCACTGTGTGGGTGGGGCAAGGAGTTTGGTACCCAACGTAAGGAAAACATGCTTAATCAGTTTGTTCTGCACTCCTGTGACTAGTTTTCAGCCAACAGCAAGCTAAAGTCCCAGCTACATTTCACTCAGCTGATCTAGGCTGGGAAAGATCCTGACTTTAAAGTCAGGATCCACCAAGATGCCTGGAACGGCACCTAGCTCAACCTCTCAGCAAGCTGCTGAGAGCCTGAGCCAGCCCAGTGCCCTCATCCTCCACAGCCCAGTGCTCCAGTGAGCGCTGGGGGGGGGGGGGGGGGTGGCAGAGCAGAGAGAGGTGACTTGTTCAGAACAGCAGGGAGAACTGAGAGATCAGTGGTGTCTGATCGCTCAGTTCTTGCCCTTAGAGCCAGCGGGGGACGATCCACCTAGCTAAGTATGATTGAAAAAAAAAAACATACTTCTCTTTTAAGTCTAGAAAAGGTTGAACAGTTATTGAATTGATGAGTTGCAGGTAAAACAGATAGCAAGGAAAACCTCAATCTGCAATCACTAGAACTAGTAATATGGTTGTAGCAACTGCGGCAGAACACTTGAAGTAACAGCTCCAGGTACTCTTGTAGGAGCAAACTCAGCAACACTGACAATACTGGTGCAGTAATGCTGAGAGTAGAAGTCACGGTAATGCTGGTAGTATGGTTTAGTACCCCAAGATATCACACTGCATTGCCTATAATACCAGGCTGGCATCTGCAGGAGAGGTGACTGTCTGGTGGAGTAGCGGCACTTGAGGAAGCAGTACAGGGCCTATGCAGTAATCCCAGAGACCGGTGAATAGCAGAACATACAGCAGTGTCTCTATTCCCTCCCTTCTTGAACAGGAACCTTTCCCTACGGCTACTTTACTGTCCTTGACAAGCATGGTTCCTCTCCCTACTCTAGCCACTTGCAAATGTGCAACATCTCCAGCAGGGGGCACTGATATTTATTAACATTGCCCATACTAAAGATGGATACCAAAGGTCACTCATTGTTGCAGTATCCAATGTGACCACTGCCCTGCTGACACTTACGGAGCCTGCAGAGAAACAGTGGGCAGAATTCACTAAAGGTTATCACATGCGTTATAGTGGTCCAAGCTTGCGAAAACTATGTGATAAGTATGGCAACAGTCAGATCCAGGGTAGGAGGTTTTAAAAAAAATAGGCAAGAAAGTGCAAGCTAGAGCAGGTGGTAGCTAGATTCCACTCATTAATTGTCTCTGGTGGCTGGTAGACTGCATAGTACAGAAGATGGAGCGCTTTGAATCCAGTGTTCTGGAATTTAATGCAGAAGAGGAGAAGGAGAAGATCTACAGTGGTTGTTTTAAAAGAAAGATGCTTTAATGAGCGCACATTGCTGGATAAATACATGGATGCTGATACCCTGCAGAAGTTCAGATTATGAAAGGCACTAATTATGGAGCTGTATACCCAATTCATAGGGTACCTTGAGCCCTCAACCCGGAAAAGCAGTGCTATATCAGCCATGACTAAATTGTTGGCTGCATTACATTCGTTTGGGAAAGCATCCTATCAGATGGTAGCTGGTGAGATACTGGGAAATTCGAAGGCCTCATTTTCCTGTCTCCTCACCAATGAACTGCACGGTTTCCGATATGCTCATGGTAACTTACTGCATGGTTTTGTGGGGTAATTAACATATAATTTGGAAATATAACACTTGCAAGATTTTAAGGAGCATTTCTTTGTGAATTAGTTTTTTTTTAAACACTATGTGTTTTCTTACCGAATACTCAGATGCAGTAATATATCGCTTAGTGAATTGTGCCCAATGTTCCTCCCAGCGTCCACTCCATCTCCACAGTGGCACACCAACACAGTGCCACCTGCAGAACGGAGGATAAACTGCATGTGCCAAACAACTGTACAGGGGAAGTTTCTCTTTTGATGCACCCAACAATTGGCACTCTGGGCTTTGCGTCCTTGAATAATGCATTGGGGTTGATATACTGAAGGCAAATAGGTTCACTATGCAAGCTGTAAAAATCCACTTTGTAAAAAAATGCAAAATCACTTACAAGGACAGTAAAGAAGAACAGTATTTTTGCTTGCACATGATTGAATGATGGCATTCAACAGAGCTTCACCTTGTTCACTAAGCTAAGGGAAAATGCAATTGCAAAGTAAAAAGACTATTTTCCGTTAGTAAATAAACCAAATTGAGTCTCAGCTAAAAAGGGATGACGACTGGAGGTGTCTGAAGAAGTCTCCAAGCAAATATCTAAATACACTGATGAAATAAATGTGTAGGAATTGTTTTACCTGCCTATGGATTTGTGTTTAATTCCATTCTGTCCTAAGATTTTCACAGCTCTGCACAACCAGGTAGACGATATCACTTCCTGTAGCAATTAAAGTGTGTATATAAGGCCATTTTTGTTTTGGATAAAACAGAGAAGGATTATAAATCCCTGTCAATTTGTATTTCTGTTTGTGCCCCTGCTAGGTAAAACCACCCTCTATATTTGTCCTGGTGATTATTGTTCCTAAGGCTCCATGTACACTGTAGCTGATAAACTCACGTTTAGGAGCTTTTCTGCTGTTTTTTTTCAGCAGCTCCTGAATTCTCCCTAATATTTTCCTATGTGTCCATGTACACTACGTGGTTTACAGTCGTTTATAGGCAGTTGAGTTTATAGTCATTTTTTTGAACGCACCAAACTTGCGTTCAGGAGTAGATTTTATCAGCGTTTCAAATGCCGAACGCTTGTAAATGCGGCTAACTGCGTTTATAAGCGTTTGCAATTTCTTTTAACTCTTCTATTTGCAGATGCTGTCCAGAGTCTTTTTTCATCATGAAAAATGCATGCAAAGAGTTTTCCCAGTACTCAAATGGACCTGGTACACCATACTTTGAGGTTTTGCATGAAAGAAGATATGTTAGACACTGCTGCAATAATTTCTGCACTGAAATGAGCTAGAACACTTCCAAACACCACAAAAAAAAAGACAGCTAATCTCAACAAATACTGCTCTCTCTGCTTCTCCACTCTCTATTTCTCTCAAAATGTATGAAATAGTTAGTTTTTTTACTGTTTTTCAGTGCATTCTGGGCATTTTGGAAGGTCTCCTGAGGTTATCTTTAAAAAATGCTTCTAAACGCAAACGCTCATAAACGCGCATAAACGTGGTATGCAATCGCGGCTAAACAGACATTTTTTAACCTACGTTTTCCAGCAGTCAGTTTCCATCGTTCAGAAGTGTCCTGTGTACGTGGAGCCTTAGAAAGAAAGTGATGGGAAAAGCTTATGTCACCAGAACAAGAGAGATCGGTAATCCATTGGGGGACAGCATGCCTAGTGAAATCTCTTTGAGAGGGGATTTTCCTTCAATTTGTAGAGATTTTCTTTTACTGCCCGTTCCATCCCTGGGACAGGAAGCAAAGAGAAATCTCCCCAATGGAACACAGACAGGAAAAAATGAACCAAAAGGAGTTTTAAATTTTTTAATTAAAATTTTGTTATACATACACTTTTAAATGTATCTAAACAAAACACAAAATGTAATATATTGCAGATTACCAATCCTTAGTTGTGGTAGCTGAATTCGTTTCCTTTTTATAGTTTTTTTCCTTTAGATATTTTCACTTGGTGATCCTGCCAATAAAACACTTCCTGTTCTAGGGTCAATTGTTGCACTGTATTAATGGGGAGCTAGACTGATTTGCATTGCAGACACCTCCCCTCAGCTCCTTTACATAGAGAGGAGTTGTTCTGTAGTCCACAGAAGTTAGTTCAGAAGGCTGATAAGATTGTTTGATATTTCAGCTCAGTACACAGGAAGTTAAAATGATACAGATTTTATCAGATCAACAGGTATTTTTCTGTACAAAAAAAAAAGTAAACCGATGAAGCCACAACATCCAGTAATTGGTAAATATTAAATTTTTTCTTTAGGAGTTTTATATATACTTTAATATTTTTCTGACATTACCTTGTTAGTAGCCTGTTGATTGGATGGTAACGGAGCAAAAGGAGTCTGATAAGGGCATCCTTTTGCTCTCTCCTCTTGTACGGTTTCTCATTTTCTGCATATTGGCATGCAGTCCACCTGATTAGCACCTAGTACAGCTCTGTCTCTTCCAGTCTGAGCACTGTTGTACAGGGGAATAAGGGCTTGTTCATGCAAGCTTTGATCTCTGAAGAACGATCCTCATTCCGATTGCTCTTCAGAGAGCATTTGATAGGCAGTGAGGAGGTGTTGTATTGCCTTCTCTCCTCCTCTTTTAACCTCAGGATTGCTGCACAAGTGAGTACTCTGTAGGCTGTTTTAGGGTGCGTGCATGCAGAAAGGCCCCATTCACTTCAATGTGTAAGATGAAAGCGACAGGTGGTGTAATTCCTGCCAGAAAGCAAAACATTGTGACTGCAGCATGTGTACACCCCTGGCTACCCCAGGGTAGCGGTTGGGGGGTGCTAGTGTGATCAAGCCCTAAAGGAGTCTGAACTCAAGTCAAATTCAAAAGTTGAGAAACAGCAGACTAGGTTGCCGTAAGTTTAGTTTGGTTTTCCCACATTTGCTTTGGGTAGACAAGACCACATATTACTAACAGCTATATATTTCTATTGTAGGGGGTGCTTCACCAGATCAATGGCATCAACATTCTTACACAGGTATATGTTTTTATTAATATCTATTTACATAAGCATAGTGTATTAAGAACTCAACAGATTATCAGATGTTATCATTTAATGATCTGATATCACTATACTGAAAATGGGGACTATTAGCTGCTTATCTGCGAAGTCAGCATCTGTTTGTTCCATGCCAGGGGCGGACTGACAACTCATGGGGCCCCCGGGCAATAGGGGATCATGGGGCCCCTGTGTCCTTGCCCAAACTCAAAAAAGCCCATGAAAAAGGTACCAGGGGCATCTCATGGGGCCCCCTACTGACCCCGGGCCCTCAGACAGTGCCTGAGTTTCCAAATGGTCACTCCGCCCCTGTTCCATGTTATATGTTTTACAAGTTATTTTAACCACTTGCCCTCCAGCGGATTTATCCCCTTCCTGACCAGGCCATTTTTTGCAATACGGCGATGCGTTACTTTAACTGACAATTGTGTAGTCATGCAGCGCTGCACCCAAATTAAATTTATGTCCCTTTTTTTCCCATAAATGGAGCTTTCTTTTGGTGGTAATTGATCGCCACCAATAAACAAAAAAGACTGACAATTTTGAGAAAAATTTTTTTTTTACTTTTTGCTCCAAAACACGTCCAGTAAAAAAATGTAAAAAATCATGAATTTAGGCCAAAATGTATTTTGCTAAATGTCTTTGCTGAAAAAAACCCAATACGTGTAAATTAATTGGTTTACATGAAAGTTATATTGTTTACAAATGGCGGTATAGATACTGAAATTTTTTTTTATACTAGTAATTGCTGCGATCAGCGTCTTATAGCTGGACTGCGGCGGTCATTCTGACACTGGGGGGAAACTGACTAACTGCCACTGACATACCCAGTGACACTAATACAGTGATCAGTGCTAATAAAAAGCACTGACACTGTACTAATGGCACTGGGTAGGAAAGGCTTAACATCTGGGGCTGTTTTACTAGGGAAACATGCTGCTTTGTATTTGTCTGCTATGCAGAGCAATGCAAAGCAGCATGCTGGTGCTGTCAAGGGAGAGATCTGTATTGTTTACATACAGACCTCTCCCCTGTCAGTGACACTAAGAGATCGCCCCCTACCTGGAAATGCAAAATCACACATATATATGGGATTTTGCGCAGCCCTGCTGCCCTGTAGCAGTAGTTCTGCTATAGGGTGGCCGAGAATCGGTTAATTGTAATTTGACTATATGTGTGTTATTATAAGAATTCTATCTTGGTTTGATGTTAATTTTATTTAATTTTTCTCATGGTAATTTGCACATGATAATAGTAGTGTTAATATCAAAACCAGCACCGATGTTAACTGTTCTCATTATTTATAGTGTATTTAAAGTCAAAACTTTTTTTCTTCTGTTGACAGCCATGTAAGAGGGGATATCCCATCGATTTGGAGAAATCGCCTCTTTCTTTCTGCTGTGTCTCTTGTATTGGAAGTAGGGGAAGAAGACAGAAAAAAATACAGGGTCTTAACCTTTAATTACTCTATCCAAAACTAGAAAAAAGTTTTGGCTCTACATACACTTTAAAGCTAAAATAGTTATTCTATAACAACAGCTACTAAGTTCAACTGTAATGTTACTGCTCCATCTGCTGGACATATGTAGAAATGCTGCTTTCCCAGTTCTATAATATGACTCTCACCTTTTTATTTTGATTATTTTTTATTTTTAGTACATGCAGACAACATGTAACACATACCTTTCATCTGGTGAAGATGAGTTTAATATTGACAAGTTGGTCAATATGACCTGTAAGTATAATTATTGTAAGTAGTAATATTTATATGCATTACAGTTTTTAATCAAATTTTGTTTTGGTAAGTTTTGGCAAACCTCCCCAGTGAAATAGAATGGGGAAGAGGGACACCTTTGTATGAAGGGAAAGGAAACACTCCTGCTATGCCCCCATCTACGCAAATTATGAAGCATCAATATGCAGAAAATTATTAGGTCAACCCACATGTCCCTTTTGCCACTAATCCTCCTTACTGACTGCTCAAAACAGCACATGTAGGAAGTCATCGGCTGTATGAAATGTTTAGTCTAGCATATTAGTTTTGGAAGTTATATATATATATATATATATAACAAGGTCAGTACCTCTAGACCAGAAAGTGGGACAAATAAGGCTCCATGTACACGGGACATTTGGAAAACACTTCTGAATGATAGAAACTGACTGCTGGAAAACGTAGGTTAAAAAATGTCTGTTTAGCTGTGTTTGCATACCGCGTTTATGCGCAGTTGCGTTTAGAAGTGTTTTTTAAAGATAACCTCAGGAGACCTTCCAAAATACCCAGAATGCACTGAAAAACAGTAAAAAATCACCAATATCAGACATTTTGAGAGAATAGAGAGAGCAGAAACAGAGAGCAGTATTTGTTGAGATTAGCTGTCTTTTTTTTTCTTTTGTTGTGGTGTTTGGATGTGTTCCAGCTCATTTCTGTGCAGAAATTATTGCAGCAGTGTCTAACATATTTTCTTTCATGCAAAACCTCACGGTATGGTGTACCAGGTCTATTTGAGTACCGGGAAAATGCTTTGCATGCATTTTTCATGATGAAAAAAGGCTCTGGACAGCATCTAGAAATGGAAGAGTTAAAAAAAAATTCCAAACGCAAATGCTTATAAATGCGGTTAGCTGCGTTTACAAGCGTTTACACGCATTTACAAGCGTTTGAAACGCTGATAAAATCTACTGAATGTAAGTTTGGTGCGTTCAAAAAAATGACTGTAAACTCAACTGCCTGTAAATGACTGTAAACGACATAGTGTACATGGGCACATAGGAAAATATTAGGGAGATTTCGGGGGCTGCTGAAAAAAACGCAGAAAAGCTCCTAAACGTGACTTTATCAGCTGCAGTGTACATGAAGCTTAAGGAGGAAAGAGGGACAGAGGGATTTCATCTGAAAAGAGGGACAGTTCCTTGAAATGAAGAAAAGTTGGGAGCTATGGTTTTGAGGTATCCTGCTCTTTAAAGTATCATTGTAACAAGGTGACCAGTCCACTTTACTTGTGCAATTGCTGCCACTTGGTATGGGAAAACTTCCCTACCTCATGTGATACCAGCTACAGCCTACAGTGCTAATCCCCAAATTGGGATTTGTCACAAAGATCTTTGTGCTTTTAACATCATAATGATTTGTATCCCTAAATTGGTAGTAAACCACGCCCCACAAAAACAAATCTCCTGCAAGGTAAAGGCATAATGTGCTAGTATGTAAAACTTACCTTAAAACGAAGCCCTCCAGCGGTGCTGTCACCACTGTAGAGGCTTCTATCTTCACCCAGTCTTCCTTCCAGGTTGGGAAGCTCCAGCCATCTGATTAGCTTAGCCACGATGACGTCACTCCTGCGCACGTGCATGGGAGTCTTGGAACACGGCACATAGCTCTGAAGGAAGAGCACGGGCATGCCGTTCCTTCAGAGTGCATGCGCCGGCTGTAAAAAAAACCCCAAATATTTCCTAAACGGTGCACGTTTAGGAGATATTCATTTTACCTACAGGTAAGCTTTATTATAAGTTTACCTGTAGTTAAAAATTAACAAAGTGGATTTACTACCACTTTAAGTCCTCATGCACACTTGACGTTTTTACAGCGGCTGTTTTTGGCTTTTGATGTTTTTTTCTACAGCCATTAAACCCCCCAGCATGTTATCCTACGTATCTGTGCACACACAGACTGTAATCAATGTTTTTTGGCTGGGTAGTTTTTTGGCTGGTAAGAAAAACCCAGGACTAGTGGGTTTCTAGAGGAGTTTTTTTAGCTGTAAAAACACTCTAACACTGAAAAACGGGACAAAATGCGATAAACCGCTGCAAAATGACATTTTTGGACTTTTTCTGACCAAAAAAAACCCACTAAAAATACAAACGTGGGAAAACGCCACTAATCGTGGCTAAACGCTAATGCAAAAACACAAAAAAAAGCTTTTTAACATGACTTTACACAGCTAACATTACCAATGTTATCAAAACGTCCTGTGTGCATAAGGACTAAGGCTCCATGCACACTGGCTTAAAAAATGCTGCATCTACAGGAGTTTTGTGTTTTGCCTATAGAAGCAGCTCAATGTTATCCTATGTGTCCATGCACATTAGGATGATTAGAGGCATATTGTAAGCTCAACATTTAGAGGCCGGAAAAAAAAACCCTTCTGGTGTGCATTTTTGATTGGAGCTTTCTGGCAGGAAAAACGCTAAACTCTCCTAAACTTACCTGAACTGTGTACAAAAACATTCTAAATCAACGTTTTTTTTTCTGCCAAGGGAACTGGTGTTTTTTTTAAGCCCAGTGTGCATGGCCTAATAGTAAATGCTCTGTTTTGTTTTTATATTGTTATTTCACATAATCATTCTCCTTTTTTTAATAGATATTTTTCAAAAAATTGCTGCCGCAAAAGAACAAAGGGAATGGGTAATTCAAAGTGGAGCACACAAAGTAAGGAACCAGCTTGTTTGTGTTCACTTTCATACCACAGCAGTACATTAATATATTTACTGGAAATGCAAGGAACAATAAAAATGCATTCTACTGGCTATGATAATTCCTGTTAATTTTTGTGTAACTAATATGTATCAAAGTCAGCATATGCTGTTCATACAGATTTAAGACTGAATGTTTATGGGTGGACTTTTGATTGAGGTAGATCTATTGTGCCACAACTAGAGCCTAATTTGACCACAGAATTCACCAAAGGTGTGTTTGTTTATCCCTTACCTCTGTCTGCCAGTCAGAAATCATGTGAAAGTCATTATCGTAAGTATGTTGTGGTGTACAGCTTTTTTGTCCCCTCTCACCATAGTGTGTAATTGAGGTCCTGTTCGAAACTTCAAGAGGATCTTCTTCCAACTAGGAGAAAGTGTGTTGAGTTCTGTAGATGATGTCATTAAAGTAAGAACTTTTCTGCGGATGAGGACTACAACCAGCCTGCCATGTATGCACTGCCAGGGCAGGTCATCTGCTGCCCAGGGTGAAAATGCCAAACTGCACCCCCACCCCTGGTTTATTATGAATTAGTCAATGTCGTTTCAAATGACCCAAGAAAATCTACGCTATGCAAAATACCCCTATTTTACGTATATGTGCCCAGCTGCCACTCAATGAATGTGTTATCCCTTAAATGCACTCATGTAATGTAAAAGTAATAAGAGTGGTGCTAACTTCAAAACATTTAAACCAAAAATCTTCTAATATATAAATACTATTAACCAAATATCATGGTATATACATGTGCCTGTGGTGAGACTTGTGAACAGTCAGTTCATGAAATCACATTGCATAAGTACTCATGTGCCACATAAAAAAGTCACTTCAATCTTCCTTTTAGTAATGTGAACTCCACCACGTGACATTTAAAAGCAGTGCAAAAGGTCAATGAGCCACCTCCTCTCCTTCACAAAAACAAACACAAAGGGAAGCAGGGTTCTTCTTTACAGATGCCACAGGTCTCCTCCTAGTTTAGAACCATATAAAAGCCACAGAGGGATACTTCATTGTACAATATATTTATTCAAAATAAAGGAATCAATCAAAGAAATACACTTACATAAAAATGCATCACATCCACGCAGTGGAACACATGGCGCCTCCAGGAAGAGCGAAGCTTCGGCATATCAAAGGATAAGTTGGTGGCAATTAATAACCCCCAGCATTTGTGCCAGTTTACACAATAATAACCCCCAGCATTAGTGAGAGTTTACACAGTAATAACCCCCAGCATTGGTGCCAGTTTATGCAATAATAATCACCAGCATTGGTGCTATTTTAAAAACATCCCACCTCATTGGTGGTCAGTGGCAGTTTTTATTAACCCTTTGCTTGCTAATGGACACTAATGCAGCAGTTAGTTAAACAGAATTCACACTACCAATGAGATACCAAATCCACCATACAATATTTTCTGGGACTGAACTTCATTACACCTTGCTCACTATCCAGTATTCATGTCACCACTGAGATCTGCACTCCAGTACATAAAGCTCCCTCATTTATATATAGTATATGTCACCAGTGAGATATGCAGTCCAGTGCATGCAGCGTCACTCCCTAGTATGTCATTAGGGAGGTCTTTGGAAAGCAAAATTTGGTCAGTACAGGATGTAGCAGTTAACATCTTTGGTACATTGGTATTTTTCTTTTTTATAAGAAGTAAAAGTCCAGGAAAGTTTTTATCACTGAGCATCATTTAAAATTTTTCATTTAAGCCACAGGCACACATTTTCCAGTTATTTCATTAATGGTATAAGTAAACTGGATCCATTTGTTAGAAACATTTTTCAACCTTTTTCTATGTGTTTTCTATTGATCCATATTGCAAAGTATAGATCAACAGAATAAACAGAAAAATAGAAGTTACAGAAAATAACGTTTGAAAAGTAAAAAGGCAACTCTTGCTACTCCAAATGAGAGACAGGATACAAGTTTACAAGAAACTGAAAAAGTATATTAATAGAATGCAAAGCATATTTTTCAAGGGTGTGTTTTATGTAATTATCTGGCAAGCACCTTTCAAAAATCTGCTTTTATATTTATATTATATGTATTCAGTTTTCTGTGCACCCATTCTGAAGAAGTAGGCAGCTTTTTGCCATTAAAGCAATTTTGAAGTTTTGAAGCAAGTTTAAAACAGAAAGTTTAAAACAGAAAGTTTAAAACAGAAAGAAGCAAGTTTAAAACAGAAAAATACATTGCAGGTGCATCAAAACAAAAGACGTTCAATGTCTTAGTGTTCATTTTCTTTCTAAAGCAGCTACAACCAGAGTAAAAAGGCCATCTGCTGCCAGCCCCTGCAAGGTGGAATTTTTGCTCTGCGTGGCGGCAGTGGTCTCTCTACAAAGGTCTGCAATCAGCAAACATATTGCTTCTGCTCATTGGAGATCTCTGGCTATGACTCAGCAGGGGCATGTCAGACCTTTGTAGAGAGATCACTTCTTCTATGTAGAGAGCAAAGGTCCCAGTCTGCATGCTGGCAAGGGACAGGCTTTTCTACTCAACTGTGGTTGAAGCAAACTGTTAGATTTTTTTCACACTTCCTATTTTGATACAATTGAAAAATATGTAGCTCAGTTAGACTGAAAGTTCAGTTGGGCTTTAAATGCATTAACGGTGTCATATCCTGTATCAAATAAATCAATAAATACTCTTTCAGATGTGAAAGTTGATACTTTTTTCTACCTCTACATGTATCCTTTGCTTCAACCCCACAGTTATTTTTTGGGGCCCACAACAAACCTTATTCTCATTGTGAAGTGAAGCAAAAAGAAAGAGCGCTTTCTTTTTACTTCACTTCACAGTTTTGGTCAGGCTTCCCCAGCCTTGTCTTGGTGCTGCACAACCTTCCATGCATTTGCAGAACTGTTGCAAGGAATCCTTCCACCTTTCCACCCTTGTTTTAAGTCCTAGAACGCAGGAGGTTTTGTTTCTGTTTCAACCTTATGCTTAAGCCTACATTGGTGTTTTTTGACACTCACATTCAACACCTTTGCAGTAGGAGAACATTTGAATGTGCAAAAGTACTGAAAGGGAATGCAGTATCAGAGCCCTCAACTGCTGTGACCCATTGTCATGTACCTGGTCAGAGGCCGGAGTGCTGAGAGTGCTCCCCTTGCGGCTAAATTCGGAACACCCCTGAAGGTAGGAACAGGAGGTGCTCGGCCCAGAGAAGCACAGGTTGCCAGTGTGTTGAGATGATGATCACCTGAGAGTGGCAGGATCAACAGAAGTGACTGCAGAGCTGAAGTTCTCCAGATGTGGCAGGCAGAACTTGGCATCAGACAGATGTTCTCCAGACGTAGGAGGCAGAACTAAGCAGACGGCAGGAAGCAAAGTAGGTGATCAGTCAGGAGCAGGAGCCAGAAGTAACGTCAAAAGCAGGCCAAGAGTCAAACACCGAAGATCATGCAGGAGCAAGGTCAGAGGGATAAGCTGAGGTCATATACAGGATAATCAAGCAGCAGCAGAGTCGGTAGAGCAAGCCGGGTCATACACAGGAAGCAGGCAGTAGAAGAATCCGAAAAACGAGCACGGGTCAGAGCCAGGGAAGAGCCAAGTCCAGGGCAATCTGAGTCAGGAACGGGAATCCACAGAAAACAACACAGGAGCTCATAGTAACAGGGGGCTGATGATCATCCAGCAATTTGTGCACCAGAGTGCTGACTTTAAATAGGCCAGTGGGCGCCAGCAACTGGCACACTTCGTGTGTGCCATGGCGCATCCGTGTGTGTGAGTACATGCGCATGCACATTCGCACCAGTGTGTGCCCGAGCCCCTGTACACTATGGTTGCATGCATTTCTGAGAAGATTAGTGTGGGCATACCGAGAAATGTGCCCATTCGTCTGTGGTTCATCTTCTGACACCCATGTACTTTTTACAGCACAAAACCAACAATTTGCTTTGTGCGTTTAGCTATAGGTTCCAGGTCAGATATTTGGTGCATCCAATCTAATAGTGTGTGTAAAAAGGGCATTATGACAATTATTGCAGATGACAGTGGATCTGAGGATTCTCTGTATTATTCATAGCATTTGTGTAGTGTACTCTGATTACAACCCTTTCCAAGTTACAAGTTTGCATGTACATTTTACACAAGTTTAAATTTAGGCAATTATGTCACTGGGAACTCCGTGCCCATTGTTCCCTGGGAACAAACATCATGCCAAGTGGAGGAAAAAATCATCAATGCTGAAATGTGAGTTTTAACAGGGGGGAAAGGAAATCATGCTTTTCCATCTTCTCACCTACCAACACTCGGTGGACATCACGAGAAATCTCCAGACATCCCTCAAACCTGAAAGAGTTAATGTTATTTAAATATAAGAATACATTTACACTTTGACATTACATTTTTCACTGTGTTTGTGTATTGTTTTGATTATTTTTTCATACACACAAAGTGAAGTGGTTTGGGACTTCTAAAACCAGTTCAAAAGGGAAGGGGCAACCAGCTACTAGTACCCATGGGGGAAGGTAGGTGGTACATAAGCCCCCCTCATGTGCCAGCACCCCATTCTGCGCACCAGATTTGCTATCGGCAATAAGCACCAGTGCTTTTGGAGGGGGGCTCTATTATTTGGGGGATGCCGTGTTAAAGCTTCTCCCATGGACTTTTAAGACAAAGTCAAAGATATCTTTTTCAGACTGTGGTTCAACTGGGGAACAATCCTGCTGGCTTCCACCATCTCACACCTATGCAATGTATTTGCTATATAGTATCACTCTTCATCCACTTACTCAGTGCAGCCAAAGCTTGCATCCCACTGTATTGGAAACATTTTAACGCTCCTATCAATCAGTCTGGTCAACTAAGGCAAACAAATTCAGGGCCATGGAGGCTTTGATGGCCAGAGCAAATTACATGAAAGAACAATAAAACCGTAAAACCTGGTTCTATTGGATGGATTTCCTAAATCAACTGAATACTGCATGATCTTGAGTTCCTTTAAGGGGTTGTTGTGGAGTGTCATCCTCTGCTCACTCTTC